CCGTAATTAAATTTTAAAATTAACAGTGTCATTATAAGAACCGACCATTATATACGCCAGCATCCTTGGATAGAAATCCGCAGGCCTCGGGATGAGATGGAAGTTGTATAAAAGGTCTATAATGCTCGAGAGCTACATTTCCTATTCTTTTTTCCTTCCCCTCGCCCTGATGATGGCCCAACCAGAAGGTTGTGTCTGCTTGCAAGCCCTTCCCTTTCAACAATTTCACGTACTTTTTCACTCTCTTTTCTAAGTGCTTTTTTTCTATCCATCACTGTAATTGTTCGCTATCGGTCTCTCACCAATATTAAGCTTTAGATGGAATTTACGACCCACTTAAAGCTGCATTCCCAAACAACTCGACTCTTTGGTGGTCAAAGAAAATAGAACAAAACGGATTCTTTGCGGGGCTATCACCCTCCATGGCGCCATTTTCCAATGGACTTAAGAATGTTTGGACTAACTGAGACCACCTTCAAATTACAATTCCCTGAAAATTTCAAATTTGAGCTTTTGCCGCTTCACTCGGCGTTACTGACGCAATCTCTGTTGGTTTTTTCCTCCGCTTATTGATATGCTTAAGTTCAGGGGGTGGTCTTACGAAGATGAGGAAGGAATGGTTGATTCTAAAACTTGTTCTCGAGTCATTCGATATTTAGACCTGGGTCAAGACCAAACCAAGAGGTTTAAGAGTATATATCGCTCATCCACGCATGCCTTAAAGAATACCTTAAGGCGCAATGTGCGTTCAAAACTTCAGTGATTCACGTCTGCAAGTCATATTACGTATCGCAATTCGCTGCGTTCTTCATCGATGCGAGAACCAAGAGATCCGTTGTTGAAAGTTTTTTTTTAAAACTTGTGTTGAAAGTCATATCCTACGAGGGCAATTCATCAGACATGGCTCCTTTAGAGTGCAGACGTGCAAAGCTCTTCTTTGACCAACGGTTGATTGCTATCCTATAACACGAAAAATTTTACAACACTACCAAATCCACAAACAAATTCCACGACACGGCAAGTTTCAAAATACCTTCAAATTTTATCACACGAAAATTTTCAAAACATTATCAAATGGCAGATGTCGAATCCCCACCAATTCCCATAGCACGACAAGTTCCAAGTTTTCACCGAATCCCCAGCGTACCAGATCCCAAAACACTACCAACTCCAAATCCACCCAGTTTTATAACACGACAAGTTTCCTCCATATCCCCAAAAAATAGGAAACCCCATATCTCCAGACAACAGGAAATTTATATCCCCAAAAAACAGGAAATTCATATCACCAGGAAGTCCCTAAACACCAGGAAATTCCATGACACGACAAAACGCATTAACATCGCAAAACACACCAAATTCATAACGCCAAGAGATCCTAGAACCGAATCACAAGTTCTCACCAAATCCCATACCATGACAGATTTAAAGAATCACCAATCTCGAAACACTAAGAGATTTCATAACACAAACTTCAGCTCCCCATCAAATCCCCACAACCCCAGGAAACCTCACAATTTTAGGAAATTCCACAACCCACGGAAATCTCATAACACCAGGAAATCTCATAATACCAGGAGATCTCATAACACCAGGAGATCTCATAACACCGGGAAATCTCATAACACCGGGAAATCCCAGAACACGACAGTCCCAATCCACTGCCACATCCGAAGTACCATCAAATTTCATAAGACAATAAATCCCAAGGATTCGCCACATTCCATAACACCAAAAATCACATGACATGCGTAGCCCAAGCACCACCAATCCCGAAAATCTCAAAACACTAAATCCCAAGTTCTCACCAAACCCACCACATGAAAACCCCCAGCACCAGTCCCAGAATATCAAGAAATCCCAGAACACCAAACCCCATATCACAAAATCCCATGTCACTACAAACTCCAAGGAGATCCCATATCATAAGAAACCCCACAGCGCCAAATACCACAACACCAAACCCCAGACCACCCCAGAAAATCCCAGACAAAACCCCAAAACACCAAATCCCAGAACACCAAATCCCACAACGCCAAATCTTAGACCCCCAAGTCCCAGATCACCAAAACCCACCACATAAAATATCCCAGACCACCAAATTTCAAACCCCCAGAAACCCAGACCAAACCCCACAACGCCAAATCTTAGACCCCCAAGTCCCAGATCA